CCCCATTGTGTGCAGCGCACCATGCTGACAGGGGCTGGGCACGGCTAGAACCGAGCTGCCAAAACAACATGAGAGATAATGGACAAAAACAGGCAGCAAAATGGCACATTGCAAAAGTGGTGTAAAAGGACCTTCGAAGAAACTCTTATCTTTTTAAAGACAGGGCAGAATTGGAGTAAAGCGAAGGCTGCAACCATCTCACATGTACAAGGCAGACAGACAAAAAAAGATTAGGATCATAGAAGATGTTTTGGAGAGGGAGGGAATTATGAGAGGGAGAAGGAGAGAAAGAACAGATGGTAAATGGTGGCGTGATGGTTTGGGTGTAGTTTGCATACTGGACACGCAGCAGGACGCTGTGATGGATAGGGATGGAGCCCAGGAGGATTAAAACAGGACATCATCTCCATCTAAAAACACAGACAAACAAACTCTCTGCCAAGTTATCTAGCACTAGTTTGCTGACAGTTAAAAGCTCTTTTGTCAGTGCCAGTGTTTTAGCAGATTATGGGGTTATAAAACCACCAAGAAGGATTTAATACAATAAACGTGGCATTTCAAAATGTTCTTTCCAAATGCAAAACTGACGTCAAGCGATAGTAAAAACTCAGGAAGCCATTTCATAGGAAACAAAAGAGTACCAGGATTTGATGGTAGTCTGGAATTCACATTACTGCAACTGGAGTCAATCCAGTTCATATTATTAAATGAGAACAGAATTTATTAACATATGATTGAATTCAGGTTAGAGTATTTGTAAGGCAATGGACAGGTGCATAAGCAAACCAATCTGACGATTAACATGGTTTATTTCATTAATCCGTTACAGAAAATGGGAGCTTCTTCCTTGCTGGGCATCTGCTTGTTCAACTCGACCACCCCACTGTGAGGTCACGACTAAGCTGGGCCAACCAGACATCTCAAAAGCTGCTAAGTGGTACAATCTGTGACTGCTGCATTGGCCAAGACAACGATAGATATGCATACAAACAACTTTTACTAAATTAAGTGGATAATATTCTAAGATGAACAGTCAGTGCTGGGATAGTTCACCCAAAGATGAAAATTCTGTCATCTTTTACTCACCCTCCACATGTTCAAACCTGTATGAGTTTCTTTCTTCTGTTGAACACAAAAGGAAGATATTTTGAAGAATGATGGCAACCAAACAGTTGATGGTAGACATTGACTTAAATAGCATTTTTCCCATACTATGGAAGTCGATGGCTACAGTCAACTGTTTGGTTACCAACATTCTTCAAAATATCTTCGTTTGTGCTTTGTGGTTTTGAATAATTTGAAGCGAGTAAATTATGACAGATTTGTCATTTTTGGGTGAACTATCCCTTTAAAACATAGTGGGTGGAGTAGGTGGATTCCTACTGAAATGACTGTTAACAAAATTAGCCGAAATTCTGCTAACTTGACCGCACCTTAACTCAGCAAAGAAGTAATGTGTGGAAAAATGGCAGAAAAAGAATCTAGAGTTGTCTGCAAAAATACAGACCACAGACTTGAGAGGAATCGGCAAACCAAAAACACAACACCATAATGACAAAACCTATATTGGTTCCAGCACAAGATGACTCAAGTGATGAAATCATTAGCTCACAGAATGCAATAGAAAGCATAATCAATCGCTACATAGCCTATTGGCCAAAAGTAAACCAAGTCTAGCCAAGCAGCAAGAGAGACTGGTGTGGGTGTCCAGTTTAAACAAAGCCGTTAGTGTCAGGAGGCCTTCATTGAGGAGTGTGGCTAAAACAACTAATGACAGCAGCTGCCCTGCTCAACTCCATTCTGACCGACCTGAGCTCAGGCACACGTCTAAACGGAGAGGGGCAATCATAAATCTTAGGACAAGCAGGCCCTATTTTCATGAATTCTTTGTTCTACCATTCTAGTATCAAATTGGTTTTAGTTCTGGACTGTTCAGTCAAGTCAATCAGGTTTTTTGGGGGGAACTATTACAACAGCTGGCATTACAAAGTGTATGACGAATTCCTGAGACAACTGGGAGGACACAATAGACCATTATAGTCTTAGCAAGACATCATAGTGGATTCACATAAGCCATTATATGACATCGACAAGGCTGTTTAAAATTACCCTGCAAAGAATTTGATCTCTTGCAATTAGGTAAGCTCAGTAAATTTTTGTATACGTTTAACTGTCTCTTATTCTTTGGGCTTTATAGTAACACTTAGCAGCTTGGGTGCATTAATTTTTTCCATTTGTACTTATTCTATTTGGACTGTCTGGCGGATAGCACACATGCCGATCCATGGACCCTTTTCACAAGACTGTGATGACGCGTTTAACGGTCATCAGCATCGTAAATCCTCGAAAGTTTTTCATATTTGTATTTCTAAAATATGAGAAAAAAAAACTGTTCCTGTGGCTCACTGGTAGAGCATTGCGTTAGCAGCGCAAAAGGCTGTGGGTTTAATTCCCAGGGAACACACGTACTGGTAAAAAAAATGTATAACATTAGCCTGAATGCAGTGTAAGTCGCTTTGGATAAAAGCGTCTGCTAAATGCATAATTTTTTTTTAAATGTACGTACATTTAGAACACTATTCTTCGTATTATATAACATTTGCATCAAATTACAATCTTTGTATTATATCACCTTTGCATCAAATTAAAAAAAAACGGTTAACGCTAATGCGAGGGTGTTTCTAATGCAGTGTCTATGGGAGGGACGTAAATTTGACATCGTTCTCTCTTCTGACTGCCGTTATCAGTCTCTCTCTCAATTTTTTTCCTTTTATTGAAAGTCATAAACACTATAGTGGAGTTTTTCTTTTGCTATTTGAGCAAATGGGAATGCAAAAAATATATTTGTGGTACTCTCCCATTCACTGCTCTTCAAGTTAACCCAACTATGACTACTTCCGCTGCTGAGAAACCCGGAAATGTGAAAAAGGTCCATTCTATCTGGAGTATACTGTTAGCCTAATTGACCTATCTGTAAGCCCTGCCCCCCTTAGTTACTGTTGCTCCCTCGGACAAACTCAGTGTCTTACAATGACAGCTGTCAGTGTAAAAGCCTTGTCACAAGACAAAAGGACCACCATTCAAGCGGGAATTAAATATGCCATGGAGGGATATATAAAAGATTTTAAAATAAATATGGTGGGTAACTCAATTAATGTGGACGCGAGGGCTTACAGATCACCGTGCATACGGGAGAAGCCTCATGTTATGTTCGTCACGATAGCAGATGAAAACATGCAGGATCAAAACTGTTCATGTATCGCAGGGTACCATTAAAATTAATTTACATTTAACCATTTTAATATGGAGAAAATTAACGTTTTCGTCTTCATTGGGTTTAGAGTTGAATGCTTACGGCCATTTTGCCATTTTGTTTGGGTTTAGGAAATGTAATAATATAAATTCCATTGCCCATCCTCTCAGGATAACTGGAATTAGTGTTACAAGTACCCCAGGCACATTATTTTTCCATTTTTGTAGCATAAACACCATCAAACCAATGCGAGCTTCGGATCCTCCAATGTTTCTCTATGGCGCTGAAACCTAAAGATGTCCAAGTTCAACTGATACTCGACTGCCATTGGCTCATCTGCGTTCGAGGGTGGGGCTTACCGACAGGTCAATTGTTTAGAAGTACTTACAGGTTTAAGCTTTGAGTGTTGTCTAAAAATCACTATACAAAGTGAACATAATATTGTTAAAAATACCAACTAGTTAATTTTACATTACAGCTAGTCACATGACTTCAACATGGCCACACCTATGAGGGGCGACCAGCTCCAGGTAGAACTTAAACTGCTTTTGCCATAAGTTTGATATGTCTGGAGTCTTCCTCTCATGTGAGTGTATCATTTTAATGATATTTCTCAGCCCATCTCTGTCTAAACCCTTATGACAAGAAATTAGTGAATGCACCTTATAAATCAACAGTTTTCCCACACATTACGACCGCTCATGAAAGAACTGCTAGTGAATGGGCAACAGTTCCCTCAGGCCGCGTAAATATCCGGGCCGTTAGCGTTAAAAGCGGTCATGAACTTCTAGAGCTGAATTCTAGAATGAGACAGGGTGTGATAAGAGACAGACATGCTGTTATCTACAGACCTGCTGGCGTTACAAGGGCAGGGTGATAACACAGCATGACATCAACGCGATTCAAACGATAATTTCCAGTCAAAACGAGGCAGTGACCAGACAAGCTCCGAGAAGTAGCACAGGCAGCCCTTATCCATATCAAACGACGGTAGTCCATGATAGTCCACTCACACTATCGATTTTCTAGGAGCTTTAGTAGTTTATTCGGGTAAAAAGAGGCGAGCGGGTCAGAATAACACACAGGACAGCTATGTGTGGACCGGCGCGTGCACTAGATTCGTTTGTCAAAGTGAAGCGATGCTATCAGTTCGCGTTTCGATTCAAATTGAATTGAACTCCTTAACATCAAATCTTTTAATTCTCAAGCACTGTACATTTTAAGCTGACCCTATGTTAGAAGAAACCCCCACAAAAGGCAGCGATTTGTTTGCATTTCCAAGACAGATGAATATTTGACGTAAGCCTATTTATATTTTGCATTAGAAAATAGGATTTTATACTCAACAAAAATGTCCATCAAACGGCATTCGTTTTATCCCAAGATGAATCGCTACATGTAACCACAGCAGCCATGCGAGTCGTGTCATTATTTACGATGCCCTTCACGGGCTGTGATTAAAAGCAAGCGTATATTTTAAAAAAGAATCGTTGTTACAAACGGAGCACAGGCCGCTGTTTAGTTCATACCATTTGTGTGTAAACCGATGCATCCTTTAAAAGCCCAGCCCAACCCAAACATGCAAAATCGGATCGAAACCAAACCTGATTTCAGAAAATATTCAGAACGGAAACGGAACGTAAACCAAGTTGACTGTGGTCTCAAATGAAGTGACAGAGAATTTGAACCTAACAAACAGGTTGAAAGATAAGCAAAGTAAACACGCTCCAAAATGTCATTCATTTACCTTCAGATGATTGTAAAAAAAAAAAAAAAGCGCCTGGTTTCTACTCTTCTGCTTCAGTCTGGAAAAGAGGACAATCCACGACTTCACACCGGAGACAAGGTGATACTGGAGGCGTATGGTTCCTTGTGCAAATCGCTTACAATATACAAGCGTGCAAAAAAAACCCTATTATATCAACCCACTGCTTCGCCCTCGCGATTCACCGTGAGCTGAAACCCGTGTGAAGGATGTTGACCAGATCCTAACGTGGCAATTCAGAAACAAAAAGATTCAAACCACCAAAATGCTCATCGGACTCCCGGTTTTCACCCAATGGGGCCAAGTACAGAAATGTACTTAAAAAGGGCAGTGATGTCACTTTACAAACTATGGCCCCGCCCACCTATCATCCAGCACGCTGTATCTCCATCATGTGTTTGAAAAACATGCATGACTGAGGACTACCAACTCAACACTGGAGTCAACCATTAAATAGACAGGAACATAAAAACAATGTTAATGTATGTCCTAAATGTTATCACAATTAGGACTAAAATGTCTTTATTTACAATTTTATAGATTGTATCTGCCATGAAAATGACATAAAATGACATTAAAAAACATTTAAGTGTTAATTATCAGCAATCAGACAAAATGAATATTGTTTGTTTTTGCTCTAATCATTGTGCAAGTGTGATTGATAATTTGGAAATAAAAAAATAAATAAAAAAATCGTGTCCTTGAGAAAATTATTTAGAATAATTTCACTCCCTTATGAAAATGTATGTTCTTTAAAAGCAGAAGGGAAAGAGAGTAGGGATTTAATTGCCTGCAAAAAGCTGTTTTCCTAGAGCTAAAACAGTGCATTCATAAACTAAAAGTAGCATTCAGGCAGAGAAAAATCACTCATACAAACAGTATGACAGCAAACATCATTCTGTTAAACAAAGAAAGGGTCATTGATGGACAAGCAACACTTGATTTTTGTTTACATACATAAGAGTAACATAGAAAACCTCGTAAAAGAAGAAATAGTTCAGTCTCTACCCTATCACAAGTAATGTGATTCTCACAGGCCTGCAGCTGTGCTCTGTTCTATACCGCTCTTATCGTCTAGTTTGTAAGATCAGCTTTGTCTTAAATATGCAAATTTGAATCTATGGGTGGAGCCAATCATACAGCACCATTATTAATGATCCTCTACCGCTTTAAGGTGCACAAGTCTGGTAAATACCAACTAGTTCATTTTATGATACAGCTGGTCACGTGACTTCAACATTATTAGCATTACTTATCCTCTACCATTTTAAGGCGCATAAGTCTGGCATTTGCTATCCTCACCCCTTACTTAAAATATAATTAAGATCTTGTGAACATCTCTGCACAATAGACATCACAGAATTAGTTCTAGATGAGATGAATTAAGAAATCAGTCAAAATTAAGCCTCAGAAGATTATCTTCGTTATAGTGCTGTAAAACCTGCCTGTATGTGATCACAATGAGCTTATTGAGGTGGTTAAATTAAATCTCTTCCTGTTAACTCATTCTGTTTGAATAGCTGGGTGTGGCTCATATTCAGAGTCCCACCGCAGATTGAGAATAAAGCAGGCCTTTATAGAATGGCCACAGGTCTGAGATCAGCATCTGAGGGGGTTGCTCTGTTTGAACAGTGTGTGTAATCTCTTTCTGTGGTTTCAGATAGCCAACTCAAACAACGTGCATTGGCTAGCGCACCTGTTTAGACCAGCTATTTAAACATGCCTACAAACTTCCCTCTTACACATACAGTATATTGGCTAAATAAGCAACTTTCATATTTTACAAGTGCAATTTAGGTGCCACAGACACCACTTTAATGTGAAAGTGCTCAGATTTGGGGTAAAATGCTCTATTTGTACCACCTAGTGGTCATATGGAATAGTAAGAAAACATGTACATGATTGGTGGTCAATACAGTTTTAAAAAGTGTTTTCTAATTAACCCTAATGTGGAACAACAACAGGAAAAGGAAAAGTGTCTATATTATAAAGACTTCAGAAAATCTCTGTACTGAACAAAAATGAAAAAAATATGACCGTCAAAACCAAAGTTTGGACAGAATGTGCAATGTGTTTAAAACAAATGAAAGAAAAATCAAGAAATAAAAAATCCTCCACTTTGAAAAGTCAGCAGATTCTTCTACATCATTTTATCTACATACTGTTTGTGCTGCCATTGTCAGCAAAGTATTTGCACAAGTTTTCCACTGCAAAACATAAAAAAACAATTTATCAGGCTAAAATGAAATATGAAATATTTCAGGTATACATCTGACAACACATGATGTGACTTTTCTGAACAACATCACTGTGTAGCTTCACATGTTAGTAATAGAAAGTGTGGTTTGTTTGCAGATTGTGCGCTTTAAGTTCATTTGAAACAGAAAGGCATCAGAGCCAACACAATATAAATAAAACACTACACTACAACATGATTGAATTACACATTAAAATAACATAGAAATATTAATAGCAAAATCAAATCATCATTCATCTGCTGACATCAAAATAATATGATTGGTCCCACTTATTCTGCACTTGAGTTAATGGCTTGCACAGGCCCCAGAATTCAAATATTTATTCTTCCTTCTCTTATCAGTCAAGTATAACGGAGAAGATAAAATTAGGCTTGTTTGTCCTCTGAAGTGAGAGTCATGCATGGGTCAAGCATTTTTGAGGAGTTCTATTGTTCTAATATGTCACCATGGTAACAGAACACTATGACCTCAGCAGTAATCTTATAATAATAGCTTTCTTGAAGGCCTCAGTTTTAAAACAAAGCTGATGAAGGGTGGCCGTAAAAGTCTGTATTTCTCTATAAAATACTAAATCATCAAGGTTAAGGCTGTCTTAATATCATTTATAAAATCAGATTTCACGTTACAGTATGCATTTGATTCCATTTTCGTATAAAACAAATTGAATCAGTACGGAATTACTGGTAAAAAGCTCATAAAAAATACAAAAAAGCAACTCAAAGTCATACTATTCAACAATAAGGTATTACATTCCAAATTACAGCCAGCTCTACACACCAGAAAAAAAATTAAGGCTACGTTTCTGAGGCATTCTGGGTGTGAATTGATGCTAGCAGAGCATGTATTTTTGTTATGGGTAAGTGGAGATGATATTATAACACCAGGGAGTGCTGTTTCTGCTCTAAATGCTGAATAAGAGCCAGTTTTTTAAAAGATGTTTAATCACAAGGTCTCCTCATCTTTCGGTTAGGCCTGCCAGTTCAGTCTCCTTCGGATGCAGACATTACACATGACTAGACGTTACTCAAAGACATAAAAACGATCCAACAGAACAAACAGCAATAGTTATGAATCACTGACCACTGTCTCCCAGTATTGGCCACTGATGACCCACTTGCACACCACAGCACGTGCACTGAATGAACATGTGGGATCAACATTCAGGGAATGATTACTGTACACATCGCCTGCACGTGTGCAGTTTGTTATCCGTCTAATATTCTCCCAATTCAAAATGTCTGAGTGTTTTTATTCGTATAGATTAAGAGGCAGTACTGAGCTGCCTTTAGCAACCTCCAGAATTAAGTTAAAACTATGAACAAGTTGAGGTAAAACTTAAATTATCCCAGACTGGAGCGATTCTTTTGTAAAAATCATATGTGCTCTTGTCCACATAAGGTCCGAAGTGAAGTGACTGTGACTTCTTAGGTATTTTGTCTGGAGGTTTCCTCTCATTGCCACTGGCTTCCTTCCTGTTGCAGTACCACAGTGTGACCAACAGAGGGAGGTTTAGTCTTCAGGCATCAAGTCCCATGACTTTACTAGTTGACCAGGTGGACGTCCTCATATGTGGTGGTTCTGCAGGGTTTCACCAACAGACACGATTACAGCCTTCAGTTATAGTAAAAACTCAAAAATGTCATTTTTTTATGCTAAAATGTATTTTATGTTAAAGGGGTCCTATTATGCTTTTTCACTTTTTGAATTTTAGTCAGTGTGTAGTGTGTATGTTTGGGCATAAAAAAGATCTTCAAACTGACAAATCTCAAAGTCCACTCAATATGTATGTTACAATTATGAAAACGTTTTTATAATAAATTGCTGACAGTACAATACTAGACAATGATGTAATCTGCAGAATTTACACTTCAATTTATCCTCTACCATTTTAAGGCGCATAAGTCTGGCATTTGCTATCCTCACCCCTTACTTAAAATATAATTAAGATCTTGTGAACATCTCTGCACAATAGACATCACAGAATTAGTTCTAGATGAGATGAATTAAGAAATCAGTCAAAATTAAGCCTCAGAAGATTATCTTCGTTATAGTGCTGTAAAACCTGCCTGTATGTGATCACAATGAGCTTATTGAGGTGGTTAAATTAAATCTCTTCCTGTTAACTCATTCTGTTTGAATAGCTGGGTGTGGCTCATATTCAGAGTCCCACCGCAGATTGAGAATAAAGCAGGCCTTTATAGAATGGCCACAGGTCTGAGATCAGCATCTGAGGGGGTTGCTCTGTTTGAACAGTGTGTGTAATCTCTTTCTGTGGTTTCAGATAGCCAACTCAAACAACGTGCATTGGCTAGCGCACCTGTTTAGACCAGCTATTTAAACATGCCTACAAACTTCCCTCTTACACATACAGTATATTGGCTAAATAAGCAACTTTCATATTTTACAAGTGCAATTTAGGTGCCACAGACACCACTTTAATGTGAAAGTGCTCAGATTTGGGGTAAAATGCTCTATTTGTACCACCTAGTGGTCATATGGAATAGTAAGAAAACATGTACATGATTGGTGGTCAATACAGTTTTAAAAAGTGTTTTCTAATTAACCCTAATGTGGAACAACAACAGGAAAAGGAAAAGTGTCTATATTATAAAGACTTCAGAAAATCTCTGTACTGAACAAAAATGAAAAAAATATGACCGTCAAAACCAAAGTTTGGACAGAATGTGCAATGTGTTTAAAACAAATGAAAGAAAAATCAAGAAATAAAAAATCCTCCACTTTGAAAAGTCAGCAGATTCTTCTACATCATTTTATCTACATACTGTTTGTGCTGCCATTGTCAGCAAAGTATTTGCACAAGTTTTCCACTGCAAAACATAAAAAAACAATTTATCAGGCTAAAATGAAATATGAAATATTTCAGGTATACATCTGACAACACATGATGTGACTTTTCTGAACAACATCACTGTGTAGCTTCACATGTTAGTAATAGAAAGTGTGGTTTGTTTGCAGATTGTGCGCTTTAAGTTCATTTGAAACAGAAAGGCATCAGAGCCAACACAATATAAATAAAACACTACACTACAACATGATTGAATTACACATTAAAATAACATAGAAATATTAATAGCAAAATCAAATCATCATTCATCTGCTGACATCAAAATAATATGATTGGTCCCACTTATTCTGCACTTGAGTTAATGGCTTGCACAGGCCCCAGAATTCAAATATTTATTCTTCCTTCTCTTATCAGTCAAGTATAACGGAGAAGATAAAATTAGGCTTGTTTGTCCTCTGAAGTGAGAGTCATGCATGGGTCAAGCATTTTTGAGGAGTTCTATTGTTCTAATATGTCACCATGGTAACAGAACACTATGACCTCAGCAGTAATCTTATAATAATAGCTTTCTTGAAGGCCTCAGTTTTAAAACAAAGCTGATGAAGGGTGGCCGTAAAAGTCTGTATTTCTCTATAAAATACTAAATCATCAAGGTTAAGGCTGTCTTAATATCATTTATAAAATCAGATTTCACGTTACAGTATGCATTTGATTCCATTTTCGTATAAAACAAATTGAATCAGTACGGAATTACTGGTAAAAAGCTCATAAAAAATACAAAAAAGCAACTCAAAGTCATACTATTCAACAATAAGGTATTACATTCCAAATTACAGCCAGCTCTACACACCAGAAAAAAAATTAAGGCTACGTTTCTGAGGCATTCTGGGTGTGAATTGATGCTAGCAGAGCATGTATTTTTGTTATGGGTAAGTGGAGATGATATTATAACACCAGGGAGTGCTGTTTCTGCTCTAAATGCTGAATAAGAGCCAGTTTTTTAAAAGATGTTTAATCACAAGGTCTCCTCATCTTTCGGTTAGGCCTGCCAGTTCAGTCTCCTTCGGATGCAGACATTACACATGACTAGACGTTACTCAAAGACATAAAAACGATCCAACAGAACAAACAGCAATAGTTATGAATCACTGACCACTGTCTCCCAGTATTGGCCACTGATGACCCACTTGCACACCACAGCACGTGCACTGAATGAACATGTGGGATCAACATTCAGGGAATGATTACTGTACACATCGCCTGCACGTGTGCAGTTTGTTATCCGTCTAATATTCTCCCAATTCAAAATGTCTGAGTGTTTTTATTCGTATAGATTAAGAGGCAGTACTGAGCTGCCTTTAGCAACCTCCAGAATTAAGTTAAAACTATGAACAAGTTGAGGTAAAACTTAAATTATCCCAGACTGGAGCGATTCTTTTGTAAAAATCATATGTGCTCTTGTCCACATAAGGTCCGAAGTGAAGTGACTGTGACTTCTTAGGTATTTTGTCTGGAGGTTTCCTCTCATTGCCACTGGCTTCCTTCCTGTTGCAGTACCACAGTGTGACCAACAGAGGGAGGTTTAGTCTTCAGGCATCAAGTCCCCTAGTTGACCAAGTTGACCAGGTGGACGTCCTCATATGTGGTGGTTCTGCAGGGTTTCACCAACAGACACGTTCAGTTATAAATGGTTGGGGGGTGGGGAGGGGCGAGGTCGTGGTGCATCAGACAAGACGACGACGAAGAAGATGTGCTGCTGTAGCCTCAAGTTTTCGCAAGTTATTACACATGCACCGGAGTAATTATGTATGTAAATATGTATGTTACAATTATGGAAACGTTTTTATAATAAATTGCTGACAGTACAATACTGGACAATGATGTAATCTGCAGAATTTACACTTCGATTATGAGACTACAGTGTTTCCCATACATTGAGTGCGGGTGTTTTTATATCACTGTATTTCTGAAGGAAACCGACTGTCTTCAGAAAAATGGATGTCATTTTCATTTAATCTTGCATGAAATGTCTGATAAAGCAGTGTTTTTTTTTAGCGGAGCACTGGGGAAACCTTGATCTCTACCACTCCAACAGCGCCTCCTGCTGCCAGAGAATGAGTTTGCTATGAGTTTATTGGCACCCTTGGTAATAATAATTCTGAACACGACTGTATATGCCGCCTGGGAAACACTGGACTATGGTATAAATAAATTCAACTGTATAACAGTTTCAATGCAATTCATGTTATAATATTAGAATTAAACAACAATAAAAATAATACATATGCACTTATATGTACATAGTAAATGCAGTTATTTTTAAGCGGTTGTTGACATCCTATCTAAATTTAGATTTTTAGCCAAAAAAAAACAACAACAACAATAACGTTACCACTGTAATATGTCTTGCAATATCCGTGCGTGCAAAGGTTCTGCGCGATCCTCTTGTTCAATATTCTCTGGGTCTGAATCCGGCTCAAACTGATATGGCAATATTGACGCCATCCTTAACTAAACAGAGCAGACGGAACTTGCTGCTTTGGCAAGGGGCGGGGCAGTACTGAAACACCGTCTAATCTGTTCGCCAATCACAACACACTGGGATAGCTAACCAATCACAATCACATTTCATTTTTCGGAAGGCGGGCCTTCATCAAACCCGGAACTAATCGAGCCGTTTGTGCCAGGATGGGGAGAAAGGTATTGTAATAATGTAAATTATGTAAAAAAAATAATGCGTTTTTCGAACCACCAAGCATGAGAGCATGTTCTAGTACACCCCCAAAACAAATTCAAGACATTGTAAAAGAGCATAATAGGACCCCTTTAAAATATTTTCTCCTATCACTGTTTAAAGTCACGATGACACGGAAGTAGTGACAGATTTTTTCTTCCATATTGTTACTGATTATTGAAAAAAGAAAATGTAGGGCGAGGACTTTATTCTATGCATCAGTTGTTGATTGGATATTGAGATTTGGGTGTTGCACTCAAATTACACTGTAAAAAATAATTTTTCAAATTTGTAATAAAACAAAGATTTGAGAGAGGCGGGGCATAGAGGACCTACAATAATGTACAGTATGTGTTTTTTGAACATTAAAGCATGTCAACATATTCTGTTACACCAAATACACAAAATAATGATCTTTAAAATAGCATCATATGACCCCTTTAAAAGAAAATACCATTTCAGTCTTTCAACTTCAATTTTTCATGTTACTTGCTATTTCTTTGTAATTAATTTTTCTGTAAAAAGCTAGGATATGTTGAATAATATTAATTTGTTGCTTTGCCTGTTTCTGATGTGTACGGTGCCTCCTGCCATTTAAAGGCAGGTATGTGTTTGATTTCTTTAAGATTAACTGATTAACTTTTTTCCAAGGCATTGTTAGATGCCAGTGTTTCCTGACATAGCTATACAAAGATTTGATAAAAAAAAAAAAAACAGCATCATAGCTATTAAACTATTTCTTGTTATGATTATAAATCAGTATTTAACCTCAGAATTGTCTCAAAGTAAAAAGAGGTACTAAAGTCTGATTTTGTGGTGACTGTGCTTTAAAATAAATTATTCTTAATTTAAGTGATGAAGGATTTTTAAAGTCTAACAGTATTCAGTGTTGAGTACTACTGTAAGGTTAATGCTGCAGTTGAAAACAAACATTCATTAGAAATGTATAAAAGTAATCAGAAAGTAATCTGTTACATTAATAAAGTAATTGAAATGGTTACACTACTTATTTCATTTTAAATAGGGTAACTTGTAATTTGTAATCTATTACATTTTCAAAGTAACCTTCCCAGCACTGATCTATAGCATGCATTTAGAAAATAGATGGGGTGAATTTTAATTTCACGCTGACTTTATGGTGTAGTAACAACCATAAGCTGGTTCAGTAGGTTGATTTTCTTAAGAATATAAACAGTGGGGTGCTATCAAAGAAAAATTGCAAAAAACCCACACATTTTTGCAATTCTATTTGGTAACACATGTGGAAATTATATACTTTACCTTTAAGAACTGGTATCTCTCTTAAACATCAATGTATGCAATGGTATTATTTGTGCTCTTCTCTACTGCATTCTAATTATTTTGAATGTATCAGCAATACATTTGTGTTAATTAGTGGCGGTTAAATTTGTGATTGCTGATATTAAGAAGCATTTTCTTTGTTTCTATGGTGACACACCTGTCACAGCAGCAGAAGAAAGAGCATGGCGAGGTCTCGATGCCGCGGAACTTTCCAGAGCTGGGTGTGTCGGTGCACTCAGCGATGAACGCATGCAAATCAGTGATATGGATAGGCTCCTGAGTTTGATGCTGAATGGAAATGAAAGGATATCATGTTACTATAATCAAGCTGTTTGGATCATCTTACTCCACATTTCGTTTTACTACCTGCCACATATAACACTTTTTTGAGTTAATCAGGAAAAAAAAAAACATTAAAATACATCATTTACAATGACAGGAATACAAAAATAGATCATTAAGAAATGAAGTAAAACTGATTAAAAAAAAAGGTCATTAAAATAAAAAATGCTAATAAATTGGTATGGTTAAAATAGTTATTTTACAAAGACAGGTATGTTTATATATGCGTGTGTGTGTGTGTGTGTGTGTGTGTGAGAGAGAGGATATCATTAACAAAAACATGTTTTTCAATTCTATCTCTGCATCTGCCTCGTCTTTCACTCTTACCTTGATGGTCTCATAAGCTCCAGTGATAAGAGCGATAAAGAGAGAGAGCACCATGTAAATGAACAGAGAGATGAACGTGTAGAGGTAAACCTGCAAAAGAAACAAGAGTATATTTACTGCTCTGAACCCTGTAGCACCTGTGTGAGGACGTGAAGGTGAAACTCACCTGACTGAAGACCCAGACGAGCATGCTGCTCTCTTGCATGCCACTGAAGGTCACAAACATGTCATCTCCATTGATCAGAGAGAAAAGACACTCAGACACCAGCGAGAGAGAGCGGAACTGAGGAAACAAAACAAACACCATCAACACCACATGCCATATATAATGAGAGAGAGGACACATGTGCATGTGTTTATTTATACACGAATGCTCAAAAGTTTCATTTTTAAATGTTTTTGAAAGTCTCATATGCTCACCAAGGCTGTATTTATTTAGTAAAAAAAAATACAGTAAAAACAGTAATAATTGTAGTAACAATATATATTTATTTTACTCAGGAACCAAATCTGCCTTTTTTGGACATGTTCCATGTAGTACTGTTACGTCCCTATGTGACGCTGATTTGTCGTTTGAGTATTTTCTTGTTTTTGTGTTCTTTTGCTTGAGTTTTTCCCCTGTCGCGCTGTCTCTCTCTCTATCCCTTTTACTTTCACTTTTGCAGGTGACGTGCGGATTGGTCGGCTCACTTGTCAATCATTCGGGACGAGCTGATTGGGTCTGATGACGGGAGGGGGTTGTTCTTCCATCGCGCTCGCTGATTGACGTCCAGCTGTGCTATATAAGGGAAACGCCAGTGTACGCGAAAAGCGGCTTTTGTGAACTTGGGCTGTGATATTTTCTTGTTGTGTTTTTGTTTGTTTGGTTTAGTTTTAGGAAAAAGCAAAGGAGGGTCGTAACATAAATGGGGGCTCGTCCGGGATCAGAATAAATTGTTCTGAGTTTGATGATCCTGGAATAATGTAGGCCAGTTCGTCGCATTTGTGGCATACTTTTCACTGGTGTAGGTTGAGAGTTATATGTGTGGTGAGTAGCATCCTAAGTATGGCTAGTTTGGATTTGCAGACGTTTTTAGAAAATCCTTCGTTAGAACAATTAGATAGTTGTAAGAAGGATGATTTGTTGGCAATAGCAAGTCATTTTCAGATTGCAGTAGGTAAACAGTCTCGTAAGGGAGAGATTAAATCTGTTGTGTATAATCGACTAGTGGAGATGAATGTGCTCGGTTTGTCGGAAAAGGTGGATATAGCAGTGGGCAGTGTTATGGGAGCAATTGCTAGGAGATAATTTCCTTTATTTTTATATACATACTTATTTTCTTTTTGCCTTGTGTAAACAACTGTCACGGTCTTCAATAATAAAGCAAGTTCGCTTGATTTAGTCTCTAGTCTTAGTTACTTTCATTCACACACCGAGTGTGAAGCTGGTATTGGTCTGAACTGGTCCAATGTTCCCCTTCTTAGTCCCTAGACGCTTAACAATCAAAGGAGGGTCGTAACATAAATGGGGGCTCGTCCGGGATCAGAATAAATTGTTCTGAGTTTGATGATCCTGGAATAATGTAGGCCAGTTCGTCGCATTTGTGGCATACTTTTCACTGGTGTGTGTTGAGAGTTATATGTGTGGTGAGCAGCATCGTAAGTATGGCTAGTTTGGATTTGCAGACGTTTTTAGAAAATCCTTCGTTAGAACAATTAGATAGTTGTAAGAAGGATGATTTGTTGGCAATAGCAAGTCATTTTCAGATTGCAGTAGGTAAACAGTCTCGTAATGTCTGAGCTGTCGGGTTGTACTGATGTCCTTGATGTAAGTTACAAGCCTTTCGTTATGACAGGGTTTGTTTCTTTGTCTGGTAAGGAAGAGGATCGGAGAGAAATTTCTATTCTCCGGGATACTGGGGCTATGCAGTCCATCATGGTGTCTGATATTTTGCCTTTCTCTGATGAATCGTATTGTGGCTCAAATATTTTGGTCCGTGGGATTGAAATGCAAGTAGTGCCGGTTCCTCTGCATCGTGTGCATTTAGACTGTACACTGGTGTCTGGATTTGTGAGAGTTGGAATTCGTAGATCACTTCCTATGAAAGGGATAACTTTTATTTTGGGAAATGATTTAGCTGGAGGCAAAGTGGTGCCAGCGCCAGAGGTAACCGATGTTCCGAGTGACTGCTTAAATTCTAATGATGTTGCTAATTTCCATCCTGAGGTTTTTCCTGCTTGTGCAGTTACTCGCGCTCGGTCAGCTGAGGCTATGGAGCAAGTTGATTTGGCTGACTCATTGGTGGGGCATGCATTAGCAGATGATGGGAATATCTCTGAAATTAAGATGAATGATGTACGACGTTCTAATGTAAAAAGTTCAGAAGGTTTGCTAGAAAGTTCTCATTCTTTGGACCTGCCTATCTCTCGTTTGCAGATTATTGCTGGCCAAAACGATGATCCATCTTTAAGAAAATGCTTCTCAGCTGTGATTAGCTCCGAGGCTGCTAAGAAAAGAGGCTCTGCATACTTTGTAGACGATGGTTTATTAATGAGAAGGTGGTGTTCTAAGGTCACCACCTTGGTCTGAACTGGTCCAATGTTCCCCTTCTTAGTCCCTAGACGCTTAACAATCAAAGGAGGTTCGTAACAGTACCACATTGAATTATTTGAATTATAATTGAATTATATTGAATTTGTGTACCTTAACATGGTAGGGTCCCAGCACAATCCACCCACAGAAGCAATAACCGAGGTAGATCACCGCCACACAGCAACAGAAACGGATCACATTAGGGAATGCAGCTCTTAAAGTGACAATGAGAATCTGAGAAAGGAAAACACCATATAGTACATAAAATCCACATCCTAAAAAAACATCTTGGTTGTTTCACAAGCAAATCTCCACTAGAGATGTGGTGACATTTCAGATGCATTTAATGATAGAGTGAATAGCACCAAAATAAAAAATTTACAAAAAAAAAGAATATAGTTGTTATTTCAAGACAATACTGTTCTTCAAAGTATTCCAAAAATGTTATAGAGTTCCAGACTTGGTAGTGATATATTTCAAATATATTTCATATCTTAAATGCACAGCATGAATAAGGTTAGGCAGGAATTTTAAGTTTATTTTCAGCCGATGACAGTGAAAATCTAGAAATGTAAGCAACATTGTTAAAAATAATTTACGAAATAATATACAAAATGGCCAGTGTAACTGCATGAACACAGGTGTGTGGGTGTGTTTGTTTCTCACATTGTACTTCTGAAAAAAGGTGAGGTAGCGAATAACTCCAACCCAAACCAATAACGTCGAGGTGCCCAGGAGGATCCCGCACTCATCGTAGGATGAGAGGTTCTGAGGGTTGAAACAAAGTATGAAATATCCCTGCTGATTGTGCCGACCCAATGCAATGCCTCCGTACACATAAATGTTTCACAATTTCCATTTTCTGCACTGACTCACCTTTAGCTCAATGCCGATCTTAATAATGGAGCCTGTGATAGTGAGCACGTCGCTAATGATGAGCAGAATATACCATCCGTTAATAAACTCCATTCTGTCTCCCCAACAGACATGACGCTTCAGAGAGCTCTTAAAGTACTTCACAAACTCCTGAAGAGAAATATAAGAGAGAATGTTAGCGCAGGATTCGCTATGTAATCACTGTCACATTCATGTGGATTTGTCTGATACAATGTCTTACATTTTGAAGAATGATTCCTCTGATGATCGAGCGACCACAGAGGAGCAGAGAGAAAATACAAACCACTATAACGGTCACATCAAACCACACACGAGCATAACTATCAGCTGGAGACAGAGAAACAGCATGAGCACAAGCATATATAATGAATATCCACAATGTAAAAAATGATATGTGGGGTAGTTGAGTCTTACCGTGTCCAGACACACTGGGGTCTCTACATTCCTTAATGGAGGCCTGATTATCAAGACTGATCTTAACTTTACCACTGTGAGCTTTGTTATCCAGCAGAATCTGAACATAAAACAGGGCCAATTATTTACAGTATATCAAATTATTTTAAGTGCATATTTTGTGTATAACTATCAAAAGTTGATAGTTATGCACAAAAAAATTAATTACTTAGCCAAATAGGAAGGAAAAAAAATGTAGACGCATTGGGTCAAAACTAAAAACTAAAATTACAGACATTTTAAATAAAATGTATTTTCATATTTTAGAATTATAAATATAATTATATGACATATATAAAAAAAGTATTAATTATGCACTCTAACTCACTTGGCAAATTGGAAACAAAATCTAGACACTACTGAATATATATATATATATATATATATATATATATGTTTATTATATGAGCTCTATACATGCCTTTTCTCCATATACATTTCTAATTGTATAAATACAAAACTGTTTAATATTAATATATAGAAATTTATAACATTACTAGTTAGTTAAAACTAAATTCCAATTGCCCAAATTGGAAACAGAAAATCTCGATACACTGGGCTGAAAACTAAAAATGACAGATTTTTCAAATTAAAAGGTATTTCAAAAAACATTTTAAAATGACACATTCTTTAAATAATTAATATTTTATCATTTATATATATCCTTACATGCACATTGTTTTTTCTCCATGTCAAATTTCCGTTAACAGATCTGTTAAAGTGACAGTTACAGTTACTATAAGTATCTTCAGTATTTGCAATACCAGTTTAAAAGGTTTTCGGCCTTTGGCTTGGTACTTTTCACAGGGACTCATGAAGAAATATTTTAACTTCCTGCGCACTGCTTCCTCTTCTTGGTCAGCACCTATCCAGCCACCTGTTACCGGGGACGGCCTGGGGTTGCTATACTCATCCCTGCAGTCATTCAAATCATAGCCTGTCACCGGAAACAGTAGCCTATCCTCTTCTGAAAGAGAAAGAGAGACACTGATAGTACCATTGGGATAAAGCACAATGTAAATAGTCTCTTTGTTTCAAAACTCTAATACCCTTTCAATTACATTCACATAAATTACCAAGTTTAGGTTCAGTAAGTTGTTGTTGTTGTGGTTTTGAATGAAATTAAAGTGCCCCTATTATGCCATTTTTAAGGTTGCTAATATTGTTTTATAAGTTTCCTAAAACAGGTTTACATGCATGCAAGGTAAAAAAACACATTAGTTTTCTAATTGCAACTGATTCTGAGAAACTACATTGTTTGGTGGAAGAATACTGTTTTTATTAGTATCATTACATTTTATTTGCTCCGTTTTATTTTGTGAAACCGTACTACGTATATGGAATAACCGTTTTATAAAAGCAGTAAGCCCCGTGACGCCGTGATTTACAGTGAAGTTATAACAGCTACGGGGGTTAATAACGCCCTTAGCTGTTATAAATTCACTGTAAACCACGGCTTCTTGGGGCTTATTGCTTTAGTGATACACAGGAATAAAATACATTTTAAAATATATATAAAAAAACAGTTATTAAATGCAGCATTGGTGAGAATAAGAGACTTTTTCCAAAAACATTTAAAAATCTTACAGTTTACCCTACACAGCATATACAGTCTATAAAAACAGAACTTGTTAATTTAATTTGAATCAAAGTTCACACTAAGATCACCAGACAGACTGAAAGACAAGATGGCCTCAACTAGAGCCTAAGGATGTGAACTTAAGTCTACTTTAGTAAGACAGAGATCGCCTATACGTGCACAACCCGAAACTTGAGATCTGATGAGCGTTCTCTTCCTCAAAGTGATGCGAGATCACTTGAGACTGAGCAGATTGTCCAAGAAAAAACTGTCAAGGCTTCATTGTTGACCTGCAATGCAGCAAATCTTAATGCTTCACTCCATAGCAAGTCATGTGAAAGGGGCTTAAGACGGGTTAGTTTGTCAAGGACACGTCTTTAATTAGCATGGCTGGATTGTGAATGAATGCTGGATTTTATTTCAGTCTCTTAGTGTGCCCTCAAAGCTCTGAGTTTAACAGCTTGTCTTCTTTTCTCACAGTGAAGAAGTGTCAAAAACGTCAATCCTGCCTATGCACTTCCTCTACAGCTGTTATGTGGAACAGTAAAAATTATGCTTCTTTCTTTCTTTCTTTCTCCACAAATCACTGAGTAAACACTTCCCAAAAGTGTTTCTAAGCATTTCTGAAACTACAGGAAATATGACTTTTGGAAGTGGTGAAAGCATGTTTTTCTTGTGCAATTCTGTAAAGACCTTTTTTTTTTGTGCAAACCAAAACAGTAAGTGATTCATTCAGTCCTGTGTTTTTTATACAGTAGCTCTACCACAATGACCAGTTATCTCAATTACATGACTACAGACAAAGAACTGCCAAGATTATAGCAGGTATATCACTGAGTAAATTATAAATCACACACAAAGCAATACACTAGGGCTGCACGATTTGATGATCAATCAATGATTTTTCTGATAAAAACTGTGTTTGTGATTTAAAATTCAATTAAAAAGGTCTACTGTGTTTGTAGGGCTGGACAAATTGGGCAAATATGTTGTGATTACATGTCAATATGACTATAAAATAAAAAATAAATAATAATAAATTGTATTATATTATTACTAAATTAAATTAAATGAAACAAAAATAAATATTAATATTGCAATATTTCACAGTAAAAGAAAAAAGAAAAAGAAAACGGAAGGGACTCTTAAATCTCTTTTGTAGATAACAGCGTGAAGTGCTTTTTATTACAAGTTAAGGGAAGATGGTTTAAGCAAACGCATTGCGTATATACTTATTTAATTAAATAACAGACGATTTGATGATACTAATGCTATATTAATTTCGTTTTTATTGAGATTAATCATACTATACACAGCTACACGCCTACATATGTAACAGAAATATGGTGAAACACCATTTTTCATGCCTCATAAATCACAATCCAGAGTGACAGCGTCTAATCTAGGCTGAACGGAAAGTGAAAAACAAAAGACAAAAGTAGGTGAGTCAGTCACTTAAATGAGATTAATGATCGCAGCGTGTGTGGGCTGATGATATATGGGAAATTTCCTTCCATTTTAGTACCGCACAGCAGAATGTACAGACAATCAGTGTTCCTTTAAGTTCCTGTACTGTTCACACTGAGTATCCAAGCTGACGTGATTTCCCTGATTTCATTACTTTCTTGAACATCTGACCTGCCGATGACTGCATGATTAAGCAATAATGGATAGAGACTGAGAGTGTTTATGAAACTCTACCTATTGGCTCTCATTGGTCTCTCTAATCAAAACCATCATTGTTCATCTAGAAGCAAATCTGTGTCTGTCAGAGCCAAGCTACTGGAATCTTGCCTTAAAGCACAATGCCTCAAATGCGCCACATTCTTGTTATTGTATAACAGGAAGATTTTCAATGTACTCTAGTGAAGTGATAGGAATCTTCATAGCAAAATTGCAGTCGATGTGGGCGTCTGAAGCCGCTCATGAGCACTGGAGTATGACTACAAGTGATAGTGCCCTTGAGCAAGGCACTGAACCCCCAACTACTCCCGGGCGCCGCAACAAAAAAATGGCTGCCCACTGCTCCGGGTGTGTGTTCGTGTTCACTGCTGTGTGTGTGCACTTTGGATGGGATAAATGCAGAGCACTAATTCCGAGTATGGGCCACATGTCACATGTCACTTCACTCACTCACTCACTTAGAGTCAATCAAATGCCGAAAAATAAACTGAAAAAATCTCATCCTTCCAGTTTTACAGGTAGGCATGTTTTCGGAGCACAGGCGTTTCTCCACACAGGCTTTTGCCGTCATAATAAGTCAAGGGTTTGGCTATCAGCATGTTATAATAATCCTATCACAGATGACATCAGGGTTTGTCGTTCTGCCTGAGCCACCCATGAACTCCACACACCCACACACAAATCTGTGGGTACATAAAGCCACACAATTATATTATGAAAAACTTGGGATTCACTGAAATTTCAGCAAGCAAAAAAGGGCTGCAATTACTGACCAAAAGATGTTTTTGTGCACAAAATGCGGATAAACTACAACAGCTGAACTTGTAAGCTGTGGACTGAACACACTTCGCAGAGACCAAAAAGAATGTTACAATAGCAGTATGTATTAAAATTTGTTTGACTGAAATATTGAGATGCGACTCATTGCCAAAGAACTCTACTATGACTGATTACTTTATTTTTGAGTTGTTTTTTTTTTTTTTTTAGCTAAATGAACATTTTAATTTTGGTTTCAGTAAAAAAATTAATTCATTAAAAAAATCTATTTGGCGCAACACTAGAAAAAAAACTAATTATGAAATATTCTCAAGATATTTTTCTTGTATGTTGAACTAGGAGACATTTATATAGAAAAACACAAAAAAAAAACAAAAAAGAGAGAAGTCTTGTTTAAAAGTTGAACTTCTATCAACTTGAGAGCAGCATTTTTTTTTTTTTCAGATGCTGCAAAAGATGCAATCACAACAGCTAAACATTTCCATCTATTGCATGTTTTTCAAGGGAAAAAACTGAAAAGCTATACATGCAAAAGTGCGGTCAGTGTGAACGTACCTTTATAGACAACGTGAATTGGTGTATGCAAACGCAAACCATTTTACTTCCATAATTTAACATATTTTTGAGCAAAACATCATAATATTAAGAAATAAAATGTAGTACTTTTTCTAATCTATTGTGAAATGATTGAATGTTGATAGTGGGTATTGGAGTGGGTATTACATTATGGAACAGAGTTAAACTGAATTAAGATTTTCTATAATAAATCCTAAATAGGTTTTTGACTATTGAATAACTTTATCAAATAACCAGCAGAAAGTCCTTTCAGTGGGGGAACAAGTAGGGTTGGGTACCAAAACCCGGTACCAATATGGCACCGGTACCTATGTAACCGGTATGTACTAGAACCGAATCAGAATGCAGATTTCGGTGCCATGCCTGAGTGATTGATTGCAATATTTGTCCTCTGGTTCTCCGAAACGGACGTAAGAAGCATCATCACCGGCACCGCACGTGAAAAATAATTTCCCGACTGAGAAAATGCACGTGAACTCAAGTCGGAGAGCTCTAATAATACAAATCCAACAAATTTTGTAGTAACGAGAGTCCATATTGTTTTCACATTCCGACTTAAAAGCACAACTCGGGAAATGAGAGCATCCGAAGAGCACGTGAATGCAGTAATTACACTTTACTTGAATAACACAGATAAACTATATTGTCGCAGTCGAGTGTTTATTGTCTTTGTTTTATCATTCAAAACGTTTATATGTTCCGTTTACTCAGTTACAGCTATAATGGCATGCCTTTGTCCATATAAGCGATTTCCTGGAAGGTCATTCTCTGACTGGATATGTGGATTTTCTGTGTGAGGGCGCCCTCTGGCGTCCAGTATGAATGAAACAGACATCATGTGTTTATAGTGCTAATGGCCAATCCATAATTTTAGTAATTTTTATTTATTTATTTTTTAATAAGTAGCGGTTCAGGCACCGTTTAGGCACGGAACCATTTTAAAAGTATCGATTTGGCACCGGGATGAAAAATAAACCAAACGATACCCAACCCTAGAAACAAGTTGCTAAAGATTATAATGACTTTTTTTTTATAACATTCTTTCACAACAAGACCACAACACTTTCACAATAAGACCAAAAAAAAAGCAAGCAAATACGATAATTTTTTTTACCTTAATGTTTAGCTACTTAAAAACAGCCCAATTACCATTATTAGTTTGAATATATAACTGTATTTTAGTCACAAACTTGAACTACTTTGAGACCATGAAATTGCAGTTGCCAGCCAATATTGTGGTGGGATTTTAGAATTGAATACCATGAAAAATGTGCAACAGGATCCATCAACAATCAGATTGAACAACAATACTGTGGTGTTAAACACAGTTTAAAAACTATACACCTCCAATCTACAACTTCAAAATATCTGAAACAGATTCACCGGCTCTTATTAAGCAGATCAGGTTTATATTCTCTACACATTCAGCGATTTTATGGTCATTATAAACCAAGTGAAATGAAAAGCTGGCAAATGTAGTTATAATTTCCAGTAACGTTTATGACTCCATTAGCCCATTGTGGTGTTACTGTAGGAATAAGGTCAATGTGACACAAATGAGGAAGAAAATCCAAAAACAAGCGGAAAATAAATCACATACACAATCTATGTACTAACACAGCAGTCTCTCCAGCCTCTTGATGTAATACTGAATCATCCAAACCACAAAAGCTTTCAACAAAGTCAAACAGGGCTATTCGCAAACAGGATAAGCAAGGATGTAACCAAATATTTAGGACTGAGGGGACCAAAGGGAATTTAAAAGGGAATACTGATTAATGGTAGCTATGGCACTGAGCATAAGTGAAACATAAATGGTGACCACAGTGACCACAAGAATCTGCATTATGAACGACGGTTCACAAGCTTGCACAATGCTCAAAACTAAACATTTCTGTGAGCTCTGTTGAGGATGTAGGACAGGAAAGACAGTTTAAGACATGAATCATCATAATGGCACTTGCAACGTCCCTACAAAAACAGCTATTTATTTACTTCCAGACCAATTAAATATTGCGAGACTAAAACTAAAAAAATAACCTGGTCTGATCCAGTGCTCGTGACCAATAAACGGACTCAAATCTTTGACATTTGATATTGTTGTGCATCCTAACTCAGCACTTTTGTGCACTACATATACGATACAAAACCACAATGCGGAAAATAAACGCACTATTTTGAAATCCATTCCATAAAAAAAACAGGATTATATTTCCACTTTTGCGGTCTAACACCCCATCGACGCACTGAAAGGCTCCATAATTAACATTATAAACATTATAATCAGCATCTAGTTCATAATCGTCACATCGCAAGCGTTATGATCACTCACCGGAGGAAATATGATTGACTTTATTCGCGTCCACCTCGGCCATGTCAGCGGTTTAAAATCACGCGCAGAGGCTGTCGGCATTAAAATTCCAGTTTAATTCACAGCACAACGGGACCCGAGTCTGTTCAACGGGCTTGTTTTGGCCCTCTGTGGTTCATTGAAAAGTTCCTCTCCGGTTACCGCATGTTTACAACAAGCGTCCACTCGCGAGCAGCACAGGCAACTTCCGATGAGGTCACGTGACAAGACAGCATCATGTGACACGCTCTGAGGCTGCTGAGTTCATGGCGTGTGGTTACTGTAAACAGAGCTTGTTGTGTATTATTCACATTAAGTGATATGTGATGCCGGAAAAGGGATTTTTGTGTGTGTGTGTGTGTGTGGATGTATTCTCAATTCTACTTTGAAATAAATCAGATAATGTACCCTAATGTGCCATTTCATTTTCTCTATTTTAAAAATGACATTTCATTATCCTTCATATATTAAAACACATATTAAACTTTTATATTAAGTCTAATTTACAGATGTCTTATGTTTTATATGTTCTAACTGTGGTGATTCAGTAATGAAGCTAAAACACAGTTTGGAACCATGCTAGATTTTTTAACATATACAGAATAATATTTTATTTTGTATTTGTTTCTTTATTGGGTTTGACCCATATTGAGTGACTGTTAGGGGGAAAAAACATTTTGAGAAACTGGAAGCAGGAACGTGCAACCAAATATAGCTTTATAACTCTGAACGTTTGACAGATTAATCTTACACTTATATTGTTCTGTTTTGTAGCTTGTTTTTCCCAGTGCTAAAGAATCAGAGAGTGTGAGGCTAAACATGCAACTTACTGGGAATAGTTTGTGATTTTTTACAACATGACAGCATTAACAGGAAATCAAGACACTAACGTCATGATTACACTTAATTACACAGAACTGCTTAATCCAGTTCCTGACAAAAGTTCCCAACCATTTACTAGTAATGCAATAAAACGGCTGTAACTGTCACTTAAAAAAAAAAAACAATGAAGCGGACAAAATGTTACATTACGTTAAGAGTATTAATAATCACTATTGTAACTACTGTACAACATTTACACAGAAAATATTAACATGCAAATTTTTTTAAGGAACAATATTTCCTCATCTCTCCTTGCCATTTACAAATACTTTATTATATTGTGTGATAAAAAAAAGAAACAACATGAACAAATGAAACATATACATAACAGCAATCCTCTATAATACAAAAATCAAGAAGTCCAAATATAATAATTCACACTGTAAATAAAACTTCTCTGCTACTGCTTATGAGCATATGTATCTCTGCTAGCACTAATTTTCATTTTGACATATGTAGAGTTCCTGCACAATTTTGAGCAACTAACAGTTAAATGGTGTTAACATTTTTTTCAATATCAGTGCAGTGATACTCAATTCCACTGAGATCCAAGCCTAAATTCAATACTGGTTTAATTTACCATTTATTAATGTCTTGTTATGGTACATTTGTAAAATGAACACCCAAAAATTATATTATCTTAAAGTTCTCTGAAAATAACCCCTCAATGCATTGGTGTATCAGTAAAGACATCATTTTACACTGAACTGGACAAGTGAGGTGACTGTGTTGATGTGGCTTGTCCTCAGCAATATTCTGTAACATCATTTAAAAAAAAGAAGGACAGCTAGAGACAGTCTTGAAGTTATTCTGGATCTGTGCTAGATGCAGTGAATTTGTTAGCAAAGCTATAAAAATGAGTGGGAAAAAAACAATGCTGAGACTCCAGACTCAAGGCTAAACTTGAAGCTTGATGTACTAAGCAATCTGCTATCTGCCATCAAGAGTTTTATCACGAGCAATGACTGCCTCATCAAACTTGATCATCAGTGTGGTTCCCTTATGCCAGTGGACAGTGACTTTGGCTGGGAAGCCACTGTGGGTTAGGATAGCCTCCACGATGCCACCAGTGAAGGCTGCACAGTTTAAGGTGCTATTTTCTTTAGGTACTGAAATGTAGGCATTGATCAAAGGCTCCTTTTCAATGATGTAGTATGTTTTGTCATCATCGTTGGCTTGCTCCAGTTTGTCAGCTTCCTTACCAAATAATGCTTTCCATACATTTACCTAGGAAGAAAGAAATAAAGAGTTAACACTATAGGCTATGTGAACTTTAAAGGAGTAGTTCAGCCAAAAATGAAAAAAGGCTGAAAATGTACTCACCCTCAGGCCATCAAAGATGTAGATGAGTTTGTTTCTTCATCAGAACAGATTTGGAGAAATTTAGCTTTACATCTCTTGCTCAACAGTGGATCCTGTGCAGTGAATGGGTGCCGTCAGAATTAGTTCAAACAGCTATAAACGTCACAATAATCCACAAATAATGACTCCAGTCCATCAGTTAAACAGTCTATAACAGTTTTCAACGAATATATTGGTGGATTTAGATATGAGAGGACAACAGGAGATAGACTTTTTTTCCACTGGAGGAAGCAATATTACGGATAATAGACTTCTATTTTGGCCAGAAGTGATGGTTAAGACTGCTTAGTAATGGATTTGTTTCTTACAAACACACTTTCTTACAAACATAAGACGTTAACTGATGGACTGGAGTTCAGTGGATTACTTATGGATTATTATGATGTTCGTATCAGCAGTTTGGATTCTCATTCTGACGGCACCCATTCACTGCAGAGGATCCATTGGTGAGCAAGTGATGTAATGCTAACTTTCTCCAAATCTAAAAAAACAAACTCATCTTTGATTCAGCAGATTTTCATTTTTAGGTGAACTGTTCCTGTAACCAAGAATGATCTACACTCTGCAAACAAATAAACAGCAATACCTTCATAAAGAGAAGTATGTTCAAAACTTTGGTCTCTCTTTTTCCGTTTTTCTCCCTCATCACAAGAACATCCAGAAGGCTGGCTCCAACCCCTTGACCCATGTCCGCTAGCCGGGCCTGGAGCTCCGACACCGAGTACACCCGGCTCTGGCAGTACTGCACCATCTCCGAGAAGAGCAGCGCAAACGCACTCACGCTCACCTCCGTTTTGGGACGCGTGAGCGAGCGCTCGAGGATCGCGGATTTGCCTCGCGTGAAGCGGACCTCCATTGCGTCCACACCGAAACTGAATCACAATCTGAATCAAAGAATGAAGTGCCTGAGTCCTGCAATATAAACAGCTTTGAGTTATAAACCAGCATATTATAATTTGCAGATAAATATTTACGAATGCATAAATGTGTCAGTTGTCCTCATAATTCATTGATTTGGCATTCAATGTAGGTCTCATGGCTACATGGCTTATCGTGTAACGTTAGGTCTCTGATTACATTATGGGGTTTCCTGATTAAAAAGGGACTGAATAATACGCCGAACGAGCCACCTTGTACAGAAATTATGAATTATATGAATAATACACATATTTCACTGTGTATTAGCGTTTACCTGGTGTTTTGGGTTTCAGATCCGGATGCGTGAAGCCACGATTAGTGTAACCGTCTGCGGTTCCCTTGTGACCGGATATTTTCAATATAAAAGTATGATGGGACACAGTAATAGTAAATTAAGCACAGTATTGGAGTGGAGTGGAGTTTTGTAGTGTATCAAATTTACAGTTTTAAAAATGAATTTTTTTGGAGTGTTTGTTTTTTTTATTTCCGAGATGCATTTTTCGGGAAATGAACATTCAGCGGCAACGACTTTTATTTTAAAATCATTTAAAATTCACTGGATAGGCTGCGCTCGACGTAAGTTTAACGTATCAACATGTATTTTATATAGACGGATTTCCTTATAATGTTCCAGGACTGTTTAGGAGCATAACAGCTTCTGAATTCATATTCTAAATGATTCTAGTTGCATGTCTGTTCTGCATCTGTGAAGTTAGTCAGCAAACTTTTGTGTTTGCATGTCATGATCAAATGAATAAGGCGTAAGTTAGGGTACCCTCCAAAATGTACAAATATCTTTTTCAAGTAAACATAAGTTTGTTCTTATCTTGTAAGGGGGTTTGAACTGCACTGCAAGGTGTGAGAATGCTGCCTGCCTTCACGAGCCTCAGACACTTTGCCACAAACACGATGAGGAGAGCAGGTAAGAAACAGCCTTTTTTATTGAAATTATTGCTGGGTAACATTCATCATCAAAATAACCCTTTAATTACATGTAGGCAGCACTGTTCACTAGTTTTCATATTTTATAGAATATACATGGTTATGAATTTGATTATGACTCTTCTGTATTTTAACAGTGTCTGAGTTCAGAATGACTGTCCAATGGGGAGAGATGAGAGGTCAGGTTTGGGGTCCTTCTAATGGCCGTCCCGTGCTGTGCTTGCACGGCTGGGCTGACAACTGCGGGACGTTCAATACCCTGATTCCGTTGTTTCCTAAAGGTATAGTGTTTCCGAGTCCAGAGAATTTATTAACATTATGAAGGTCCACATGGATCAATTCATTCTTACATACCTCATTTACAACCATCAATTAAGTGAAACTAGTTCCTGTTCTCTTCCAGACTGGAGATTCGTAGCCATCGACTTTCCAGGTCACGGTCTCTCGTCTCATAGGCCTGATGGATGCTTTTATACCTTCCCTTTGTACGTGGCAGATGTGCGGCGAGTTGTAGAAGGTTTGAAGCAACTCGGCCTTTGTTACAAACAAAAAAAGTTCTTCATCATTCTTGAAACTAGATTAATGTACATGAGAAGCAACACTAATTAATTTAGTTACATTTTAGTGCATTTTGGCAATTTGATTTAATTGTTTTGTGCCTAAGCAAGTAAAAAAAAAGAAAAACAAAGTGGAAAAAATCTGCTACTGTGGAATGACAAAAAAATAGGCCTACTTATATTCAAGACAAAATCTATGAAAACAAGCCTTAATAGTTATGCTGTGTTGCTTAAAATGTATCTTGTTTTAAGATTTAATTTTTTTTTTTTTACTGGAAAACAAGGCAAAATTAATTTAAAACATAAGGGATGTCTATATTTGTATTTTTTCTGCATTTGTTTGCAGCTCTTCAGTGGAAACGATTCTCTATCATTGGACATAGTATGGGTGAGTCAGCTTTCTTCCTGCTGTCTTCATTCACTGACAGGTCAAAGTTCTCTTTTGTGTGTGAAAGGTCAGAGGATCTATGTAAACTGTAAGTTAACTGATGATAAATCCTATTATTGTGAAGCTGTGTTACTGTAGTGCTCTGTAAATCCCTTGTTTTTTGTTTCTTTTGTACTTTCCTTCTATGACATAAATGTATGTTAGTAGATCAGTAAGAGGGCATTAGAAGGACACTGTGGGATGAGTGCCATAAACCTGACTTCATAACGCTCTACTGTATATAGCATCACCACTTCTCTAAATGTCACCCTTATTCACGACCAGATGATGATCCAGTTTGTTGAGTACCTGCAGTATTGTTTTCCAGGATTTGAGGAGCTTAAATAATTAAAATATATTTTAAGATCAAAGATTTTAAGATTCCGCAGTAGGAAATAAGTGTGTGTGTGTGTGTGTTTTGAGTCATAACTTTTAATAATTTAAAGGTATTTAGTTGTGGGTAAAGATATAGGAAAACAGAGACGCGAACGCATTAACACTACCTTGCACAAATCTATAAACAAAATTAATGCACAGTCTTGGAATAACATAAAATAACTTCAATTTAATAATAATTATTATTATTAGTAATTTAATAATAATCATATTACTGGATAACACTGGAATTTATGTGAAATTACGATAAAATAACTTTCACAAATAAGTAACAAATATACATGACGTTCAAATGTTTTTGAACTGGGTTAATTATTTGGGATTATTATTTGATGTTTCTTTAACAGGTGGGAATGTGGCAGGAATAGTGAGTATCTTTCATATTTCTGTAAATGTTATAGTTGTTTAGTACAGTGTTTCTCAACTGGTTTTGCTTCATGACCCAGATTTGACATAAAGGGACAACCTATCACAGTACTAAAAGGATGCAGTGTAAACAAAAGTGTCTTTAAATTATTTAATATTAGTGAGCTGTAAAGGTCCAACAGTTTGCGAAATGATTAAAGGGGTCATATGATGCGATTTCAATTTTTTTCTTTCTCTTTGGAGTGTTACAAGCTCTTGGTGCATAAAGAAGATCTGTAAAGTTGCAAAGACTAAAGTCTCAAATCCAAAGAGATATTCTTTATAAAAGTTAAGAGTCAATTTTGGGCAGTGTAGAGTACGGCTTGTTGTTTGTCATTTCTCCGATCACAAATGCAGACATGGTTTTATGTTTACGTGGCGCGATGCAACGCAACGCGTAAAAAGACAGTATAAGTCATTATAATCCATAATTATGTCCCCACTGGATGCAGCAAATGCCGTGTTTATAATGGGTTTTAATGATTTTGAATCGTCGCTCCGGCCTGACAGAGCATCATCACAGTATGGTGAGGGGCGTAACATTTCCGTCACACGCTTGAGGTATTCGGCCAATCACAACGCACTGGATAGCTGGCCAATCAGAGCACACCTCGTTTTTCAGACCGATGAGCTTTGTAAAAAATCGACGCGTTTCAGAAAGGCGGGGCATAGAGGAGAAACAATAATGTACAGTATGTGGAAAATAATGTGTTTTTTGAACCTTAAACCGCATAAACGCATTTCATTACACCAAATACACAAAATAATATTATTTTTAGCAACATCATATGACCCCTTTAACTTTTTGCTATCTTCCTGTGCATGAGTATAAGGCTGCCTAGCATTGTTTTTATCTGCTGTCCTTGAATGGATATGTTTTTGGTTTTGCAACAACTGAGAAGCAATGTTTTGTGTTGTGTAAATGTAGCGTGTGATAACATCTCCTTCTGATTTTCCAGTTTAGTGCCTTGTACCCAGAGATGGTTGATGCCGTAGTTCTCCTGGATACATATGGATTCCTCCCAACACAAGTGGTAACAATAAATGGAGCATTTAGCTGTAAATCATACAGAAGACTTCTTATTCAACATTCATGCGTCAATGATAACAACATACATGTTTATTTGCCCTTTCTTAGACTGACATGTTTAAGAACATGAGGAAAGGGATAAATGATCAAATCCAGTATGACAACAAGACGGAGGAGAGGAAAGAGAGGGTCTACACATATGAGAAAGCCAAAGAAAGGTGAAGAATGCCTGATGTTTACTTACAAACAAACATGTATAGCACATGAGTGTTCTTGTTTTTTTTTTTTTTGTTCTGTATTCTGTTGAGTTTTAACCACGTTCTTTCCCACAATTTTAAGGTCTGTCTGACTTCTGAAAATAGAGAGTCTTCCAGTAAAATTGTAATTGTATAATTTATACTTTTTGTCTTTAAATACGTTATAACTTTAATGAAAGACTTAATCTGCCTGCATCTCACTGCATGATTAAATTAATTTACAATTCTTATTTTCTTATTGAATATTGCCGTTTATTATAAATGATTATAAAAATTGATAAAATCAAGTCACAATAGGGAAGAAAGGGTAATTGCATTTCCTGCCTTTTTAAAACTTTTTAAACGTTTTTTCTAAATATTTCTCTTTAACAACATTTTTGACATTTTTAAGTTTTGATTTATCATTTGTCCACCTTATATTGATTGCAAAGTTGAATTTTCAGCATCATTACTCCAGTTTTCAGTGTCACATGATCCTTCAGAAATCATTCTAATATGCCGATTTAATGCTCAAGAAACATATCTTATTGTTAGATATGTTGAAAACAGTTGTGCTGCTTAATATTTTTCTGTAAACCATTATATATTTTTTTCAGGATTATTTGATGAATAAAAAAAATCACATTTATTATTTATTATTATTATTATCCTCTTTCAGGTTGAAGGCTGCAAACCCCTCCCTTTCCGATCAGTCTGCAGACATTCTGTTAGAGCGAGCGGTCAGAGAAGTTGAGGGAGGTAAGACATACAGCAATTGCACACTTATTCTATGGACCCAGATTTTCTCACTTTTTCTCTAAATTACTTCCTTTCTCTTGAAGGATTTGTATTCACCAGAGATTTCAGGATCAACCTGGTGAGCCATTTCAATATATTTATTCAGCCCTTTACATTCTAGTTTATTCACGATAACAATATTTCAGATTTAGTATGACTGTTTGACCCATATTCATCTGTGACCGATCTTCCAAAAACTCATATTATCATATACAGTGGTTTATTCCTTTTTTTGTCATGGTTTCTGCTATACAAATGTTTTGTGTTTAGGAAGGAATGTATAAAAACACACTATACACATCATGACAAATGTTCATTCCTTCATATTTAAATCTCTCTCTTTTTTTGCCAACTGGTGATATTTGGTTTTGTTTCAGAAAAACATTGTGAATAATAATATGGAACAATGCCTCCACATGATGTCACTAGTTAAAGCCCCAGTGATGATACTGCTGTGAGTTCACACAGACACAGTTTTTCAGTTTTCATAATGTTCAGGAGAAGCACTGTGCACATTTAAGCACAATGCTGAAAATTAGAGATGCACCATTATTAAAAG